CGCGTGCCTCCCACCCGGTTGTCCGCATTCCTCAAGGACTGAGGGCTCGTTCGCGCATGTTGCCCCGCTGCACGGTCCTTCTGCGCGCGCGCTCCCGACATCCGCGTCCCGCGAGTCCTGTTCACACGTGCTCGCGTGCTGCTTCGCTGCGCCCATCATGTGCGCGTCCTCGCCAGCCGTCCGTGTTCCGTTCGCGTGCCCCAACCGCGCGCACCCGCTGGCCAGCCCTTGCCTGCTCGCCGTGTACGTGCGATCATTCTCGCCCATGGCCACGCCCTTTTCGCAACCCTTGCGCGCACTATGCTCAAGTGCGCGCATTTCTGCCGTTACTCGCGCTTGCCTCTTGCGTGCATGGTAGGCCCGACTGGAGGCGTTCTTGAGCTGCCTAGCCACTTCCGCATCATCGCGCCCTTCCTTGCGCTCGATTATTGCCCATCTCGGGACCATCTTCTTGCACTCTCGTGCACATGTTACCACTTGCACGTTCGCCTGCTCACGGCCATCCCAAGTGCGCGCTGTCCACCCAACATCCACCCCTCGCGCACCGCTTATCTCTTCCGTAATGTAAACACCCAAGGCCTTAGCCTCCAAGCGTCGTGCACGTCGCTCCCTCGCGCACGCCTTGCACCAGTCGATCGCGTTACCCGATCCTTCAAGCCTCGATCTCTTGAGCTTCTTGCTCGACCTCCCATGCCATTGTGCATGTCGGCACCCTCGTATACGTGCTCTTGCACGTCTCCTAGGCCATGCAAGCCTTGTTTGCGACCTTTGCTTGGCCTTGTCCATTAGCTTCGGCCCTCGGCCTTTCTAATCATCAGGGGTCAAAACCCACTTCCGTATCATTCCCGCCCCCTTTAAGAATGTCCTTGTCCTCAAGGACTTGTCATCGACCATTTATTGGGGCGTTCTCACCTTGTACACTACGTGTGCAATTTCTTTCTCAACCACTGAAATCTCCAGCACACCTTCTTCATTCTCAAGCCAAATCTCCTCCTTTACTCCAATCACTTCGGCTTCATTGGACTCGCCCAAAATTCTTTCGACCTCAACAAAGTGTTCAAAAGGGTACACATCGAAAATAGGCGGTCCTTCATAATCCGTCGACTCATTCTCGTACTCGATGGGCCTTACATCCTTAAAATATTTTGAGAATTCAAATGGGAAGATAGGCTCCTTACACTTTTCATTGATCCTGCCTTCTTCTTTGTCGGACTTACTTAGTACACGGTCGGTTGCTCTAACCAACTCGCGTTTCTTGAATTGCTGCTGCTCGATCGCCCAAATCTTGAGCACCTCGCCTTCGACCTTGGTTTCCTTGATCTCAGCCTCCTCGACTACTTCGTCGTCCATGAGTTCATCCTCGGGGTACACATCGAAGATAGGTGGGCCATCATATTCCGTCGAGACATGCTCGACCATGCTCGCGTA